AAGAGGAGGGCCTATATTTTTAAGAACTGCAAAATGGACTACCAGACAAGGTACTAATTTAAGTATTCTGATGCATGTTTCTTAACCAGAATTTAACATACAACACGATTCTTGCATTAAAAATTACTAAAACCAACTCCTAACTAAGAAATTAACGTGTTTATTCCACATTGGTTACGAGAAATTTGAACTGCCCGCTCACAAGAAATTCAAAGCTCTACGTGAGTCAAATCGCGCAATACAACGGTTTCAACGCGCTTCTCAGTCGAGCAATGTTCATTTCCCACCATGCGTTGTTCAAACTATTAGCAATTTGCTATAGCTGAGCCAAACCGTCAATATTCAGGTTGCCAGATTTTTATATCGCAGAGACTGTCATGATAACGTTTAGCGCCCGATGTGAATCACGTAGATCATTGAGTTTTCATGAGCGGCTGGTTTGAATTCACGCATCAATAATCATTAAATATCTTCGTAAGGAGTCGATTGAGGTAATTTTCGTTGTGCGCATTGTGTTTCACGCAACATTTTGGTTGAGAAACATGTGTCAGAATGCTGAAATTTGTAGTCGAATGCGTCCAATTTTGATTGTTTGGTTGCACGTGCACCACGCTGCAGCACAGTAAACGCACAAAATATAAAAGAAAAAATTAAAGTGCTTTGAAAGTCATTAAATTTCACACGGAACCACCTTAATATTTACAAAACACACATTATATTTTCCTTTACATATTAATCCATCCACTTCAATGAGAATAATCCACGCAGAGTGTGCAAACATTTCAAAATCACGAGTTGAAAAATGCTGACACCGCGAGTTTAAATATTAGAGTCGAACACAGAGCGAAGCGGCCTACAAACCTAAGTGGATACTTCTCGCATTACGCAACGCTTGAAGTATCCACTTGGGTTTGTAGGCGCCAATGCACGGTGCGCGTCGTCCGCTCTCTCGCTGCGCCGCGCCGCAGGGAGCTACGGCGCCAAAAGCAACTATTTCACAACAGAGGTGTTACACAGTATCATACGAACTTGAAGGCGCTCCAGCATGTTAAGGATGACAGGCATCCTTTGAGAGTACAGAGCTTTCCTTACAAAATAAATCAAGATACTCCGGCACAAAAAGAGAGCTGTGGTCCAAAAACTCAGTAAGTCATAGCATCCGTATTTAATGACGTTTAGCATAATTTTTGAATGTTATTAGAGGAGAAGGTGACTCAATTTAGACAGAAACATTATTGAGTATGCAGTCAAGAAGAATTTATTTTAAATCAAGACGAAAGTAGCTGAATGAAAGCGGGTTTCTGTTTGATGTGTCTTTTCTTTTGATGTAAGCATCTTTTTCACTTTCATTGAGTTTTCATGAGCGTGTGGTTTGAATTCACGCATCAAGAACCATTAAATATCTTCGTAAGGAGTTGATTGCGGTAATTTACGGTGTGCGCATTGTGTTTCACGCAAAATTTTGGTAGAGAAACATGTATCAGAATGCTGAAATTCGTACCTTGTCTAGTGGTCCATTGCTGTAAAAGTACGGTGTATTTGCACTGGAAAAAAATTCTCGGCGTTTTTACCACGGTCCGTTGGTACCTTTACCGTCTTACTTTTTTTACCAATTATTGGTAATTTTACCAAGACAAACTGGTAAGCTTACCTAAAAACCGGTATTTTTACTGTTTTTTCAGGTAAGAATACCACTTTTATTGGTAATCAATTCCCGGTAACTTTGCCATTTTATTTCGGTAATTCTACCACAGTCGATAAAAAATATTGACGTTTTCACCAAGGTCCAGTAAAATTACCGAGAAAGTTCAATAATTTTACCGAGATTTCTCGGTAAAATTACCAATTCCATACGTGGTAACTTTACCACGAAAAAACTGGGATCAAATAGAACCCTGAATTCTTGGTAATCTTACCCTTTTCTTAGTAAATACACCGAGGTTTTTTTTCAGTGTGACCCTTAATTTCCTCCTCGCCATTTTTTGCAATTGGCCAATCAGCGTGGGCGGGCTCGTTGAATGGGCGACCGAACGGCGGGTCTATGGAAGCGCGGTTCTCGCGGCGCATCATAGCGGAACAATCCGCCACTTAATCTCCTCTCGTTGGTGGCGCGGCGTGGTGCCCGTGAAAAGGAATGAAAGACAAGCGCTGTTCGGTGATGTATGTTCGCTCTCGCCCGTGAATAGCCCACTGCAGAATGAGGCCCGCCGTGCGAATTGCGCCCTCACACCTCCACAGTTGTCGAATTTACTAGAAAAAAGCCCCCCTTTTACACTCTATGGGCCTGTTGAGGGCTTCAGCAAGAGCGTAAGATCCTCGCGTGCACCGCACGATTTTTGACGAGGTTGCAATTTTTTCACCCCGAGACTTGGACGAAGCTGCCGTGCGAAGGAGAAACGCCGTAGGAACATTCAAGAGTCGCCAAATTTTTCTTGATAAAACATGTGTTGTACATGTAACATTTATGCATATTTTTCCTTGAAATTTTAAGATAGTTTAGATTAAATTGGGTGCAAAATTGTCTGAAAATTTTTAAAAATAATATTAGCGATTTCCTCAGTAAATTCGGATTTTAACGGATGAAACTTGGCAACGTCTGAGGGCTCATACGGCGTTTTTCCATTAGCACGGCAGTATGCGGTGAGATCAATATAAAAGAAATGCCAAACATTTCAATTAGAGTCGAAAATTGGAGCTTCAAATGGAGCCTTTCAATGCTTCTATAAGTTTAAGTCTGTTAATACCTATTTAAGTAAACGTAAAAAAAATTAGTTAGATTTTATGTAATTTTACATTAATGATTTTAAATTACAGTAATCCATTGCGGAAAACTGGCAGTTGCAAGTCGAAAGAACGCTGACTCCGCGAGTTTAACTGATCGCGCCTGGTGCAGTGCGGTCGGCGCGAAATGCATAATTAGCGCCTACAAGACTGCATGAACACTTCACGCATTGCGCGTTCACCACGGCGCACCATTTCCGACCAGTTCTTACGGCGAGCTTGCAATCCTAGAACCTAGGAGAATCATCCTGAAAGAGAACTCTCTTGCGAGTTTACCTAATCGCGCTAAAACATTGGGGTCGGCGCTCAACGCATATTAGCGCCTACAAGACAGCATGGATACTTCACGCATTGCGCTTTTATTGAAATTGGTCAGCGCTCAGCGGTGGATCCGAGGCTGACCGATTTCGCTGGGAAGATGGCGGCTTTTGTCTACCGACAATTTTACGTCATTCCTAAGCGGATAACTAAAAATGGCGGACTGACGTCATCTCGCTGACTTCGATTATTTACTTTAACAACGCGTCTAAAGTTTTGCTTGACTACTTCACAGAATATTTTGCACACAGAGAAACAATTCAGGAGAGCTTTTAAGAAGGATGACGGTGTAAGCTCTATATTTCATTTAGAATTTTAGACCAATACTTTGTGGGTTCATTTTATAATTGGGAGCTAAAATAGCTGCAGGTTCGGTTTGAAAACAACGTATGCACCACTCAGTTCCCTATGCACATTGCACATACGTGTTTTTACGGATGAACCGGATATTGTATAGTTTCTAATTTCAAAATGAAATCCATTTATAGATCATGAATAATCTTCAATCCATCGCACAGCCCATACACATCGCGCATCCAAGTCAAGCTATTTCGTAATTCATTTTGCAATTAGGAAAAACAATTTCTGACCCATTTGAAGCCTTATATGTAACAATGGCGGATATAAAAAATTACCTTTCCGAAACACGCCTAAAAAACTGTTTGGGTCACACAAAAATCTAATATGTTCGGCTCTGACATGCATAATGCGCAGATCTCGAAGATCACATCTCAAGTATTCTCTCAAAATTTTCTCGATGCCAAAACAGTTTTTTGAACTTGTTTTGAAAAGGTCATTTTTCACATCCGCCATTGTTACATATAAGTCCTCATTTGCAAAAGCACTTTTCTACATGAGAAAACAAATGGTAATCGTGTCGTTTCTAAAGTGAACCGGATAATGCTCCTAATTGCAAAATGCGGTCCAATTTCAATCGCGCCCTCCGGCAACGCAGGACTTGAGTTCTCAAAAGATTTATACCGAGCTTGAGCCGTAACGGCGCCTGATTTATAGGCAACCGATAGTCTCACGCGCCGTGCGGGATGCAGAGGCGTAAGGAGCAGAGCGCTCAGGAATAGAGCGGCTTCGCGGAAAAAGCTCCCGGACCTGAAAAACTGAAAAGGTTACTATGCACACAGAGCGAAACTGAAAGGTTAGCTCAGGCGTTTGGATCGAGAAGAGACTATGAGTAATTTGTCGCGGAAAATAAATGTTGAGAGCTTTATATTGCCCGGAGGTTGTCGCGAAAGTTTGTCGAGGAGGACTTTTGAAAAGGAAACGACGCTAACTCTATCTCGATCGCATCAAAGAGTTCCGTCCCGGCTCCGAGCGCTAACTGCTGAATAAAGTGTGGATATGACTTATTCATCCTCCAGAAATGGACTTTTTCACCGACAGTAAATAAAATGCTCGTACTTTCAATCCGTGCCAGTGACCGTCACAAGCTCGGTGAGATCAACTTGGTTGAGCATTGATCGATCGTTCAAAGTTGATTCCTTTTGCAAGATGAAAAGATCGAGCAATATTTTGTTTTTCTAATTTGGACCTGGTTTAATTGGCCCATTTAAAAAAAAACCCCGGGATGAATCTTTACTTGATTTTCTTGCATCATAGACAATCATGGATCGTATATGATATATGAAACAGGTGAGATTGTATCGATATCGATTTTGTCTACATGTAAACATAGCCTCAAACGGCAATTTAGAAATCTGAGGGAACGGGTGTTAAGTGATTGATTTTTTATTCTTTCGAGTACCAAATGATAATCAAAAGAGAAATTTTTTCAGTTTTTCCAACTTGAATTCTAAAATTTTCGTTTGAGGTTATGTTCTATTGTTTGAAGCAAACGATACATCGAACCACTATCCGTTTTTTCTTTTATCTGTGGTAACCTTGGATACGGCCGTTACGTCGGTTCTCTCGCCGGCCGAACCTTACATCCCGCGCAATGTGAAAAATGACTTGAATTTCCGTTGACTACCAACACCTTTCGGGATTTTCGGAATTCTCTTCAAAATTTACAAGTGAAACCCGAGAGTAAAATTAAAAAAAAAAAAACCTTCAAAATTAAGCTTAGTATCCAAATTTTCCAAGATTAAAAGTGTTTCTGACAGGTGAGTGATCGAGTGCCGAGGTTAGTTTCTGCACAAGTTCGGAAGTATCATAATTTGAGGTTAGTTCATCCACTATACCTGTTTTATTACACTGCACCCAATACGAGAGATGTGTCCGATTTTCTACTAACTTTTCCTGTCTTAAAATAAAACGTCATATAATTTTAAAGCCATTAACTTCCTCTTTCCCTATCAGCTAGCTTCCTATTTCCCTATTAGCTTGGGGGACAGGATTCAGACTATGAGGATTGTAATATGAGCGAGCTCAATTCTACCGTCCACGGCAAAAAGTCCGTAACTCCATTCAAAATATTTTCCTTTTTTTCAGTACGTACTGCTCTATTACACGATATTGCCACAATACTTCATTTATTCATGTTCATGTCCGAATAGTGTGGCGGAGTTGTATTGAAAAAATGGAGGATATTTAGAATTCTAAAAGTCACGGTATTCGTTAGGTTTTTTGTGAAACAGTATTATGTCAGGTAAAAAGAAAAAGTGTTGAATGGATACACGGCGTGTTTACTTTGGACGACAGATTTTGACACCACTGACACCACCCGCGGGGTATGTCACAGTAGGAGGGAAAAAATAATATTCCAAAGCAAACTGCCCGAGCTGAACACTCTCCCCCTCAGTTTTGTACTGGTACCCAAGAGTGAAAAAAATTGTTTTTACTCAAATTGTAATTTTTTGAGCTTTTTGGCCTTGTTTTCTCCGCGAAGTGGTTTGGACCCAGCACCATTTCACCACTTTGAAAAAATGCTGAAGATATAAAACACAAGACAATAAGAATTTGACTTGCGTTCAACTCTATCCAAATGGCAGAGCGTGTGGACGGTTCAAAGTCAACACGACCGGATAAAAAAAGATACAATTATTCAACCACGGGTGTATGCTTTGGTATCATCACTGATTGAAGGCGATTTTTACGCGTAACCTAATCGTGCTCTCGCCCGAATAGTGTAGTTATGCCATCATAATTTTCCCCTCGTTTTTGGTCATAAATTTGACAAGATGTGTTTTCGGCTAACTTGGCTCAATTGATACGTCAATTGAACCGATTATTTTCCAAATCACGTGAGCGCCAAAATTGCGAATGCGAGAAAAACAAGGAAAACCGTTTTATTCGCTTCGTTGACAATCTTCGAATTCCAAAAAATGTATGTTCTCTTGGAAGGCTGATTTGAAATTAGACATGATTGAGTATAAAAACAAACCCTGGAAAAACAAACCCTCTACCACCAAAATAGAGATTGGCGCTTACACGATTTGGAAAATAATAGGTTCAATTTTAGGAATCATTTTTCAGCCACTATTTCAGTATATACGCAGCCGTATTCATTCTGTTTCCAGGTAGCGCCACCAATGGTGAACAACCGACCCCCGCAATAGAATGCCCTCGATGAATCAATCGCAGAGTTGCAAGCAGTGCAAGGAACCCCCCCAGTGCCAGCAAAAGTGTCAGCAGCAGCCCCAACCGCGGTGCATACAGTCCCAGCCCAAGTGCCAGAAACCTCAACCGCGGTGTATCCAGTCCCAGCCCGCGTGTCCGAAACAATCTCTTCCGCGGTGTATACAGGCCCAGCCCAAGTGCCAGAAACCGAAGTGCCAACAGTCTCAGCCGAGGTGCCAGCAGTCACAGCCAAAGTGCCAGCAGTCCCAGCCAAAGTGCCAGCAGTCCCAGCCGCGGTGCGAGGAGGATGCTGACGACGCTGCCGCGTGCTGCCCGAGCAAGGGATCGGCCCGAGGGTGCCCGGCCCCGTTCGGCCACGAGCGAGGGCGGAAGTGCGGAGCGGCGCCCTGCAGGGCGCGGACGGGCGGCTGCGGCGCCCCCCGCAACCCCTGCTGCCCGTCCCCGGCCAGACCCTCCTCCCTCCGGGTCAACAGGGCCGCTCAACTCTGCCTCCCCGGGGGTAGATCTCGGCTCTGTCTCACTAGACCCACCTGCAACCGGATGACCGGACAAGACGGTCAGTATCCAAACTTTTCTCATTAGAATCTCCACAGAGTGCACGGAAAAAAATAGGGTAGTCGACCCAACCAACGGCTGGTTAAACATGTGCCAGCTACCTGCGGTAGTTACGATAACTACCACGGTGAAGGTCACAAAGAACCCGGTAGTTACATCGAAAACCATTGATGTTGATGTAACTACCGGGTTAGTTGTGACCTCCACCGTGGCGGTTATCGTTACTACCGCTCGGTAGCTTGCGCAGTTTTAACCAGCTGCTGGTTGTGTCGACTACCCTATAGTAAATTGTCCGTATGCTGCTGTGCTAAGAGAGAACGCCGTACGAACAATCCAGAGTTGCCAAATTTCTCCGGATTAATCATGCATTTTTTAGGAAAGTTACTCATATTTTACCTTTAAATTTTCAGGTATTTTAGATCAAATTGCGAACAAAGTCGTCTGAAAAATTTGGAGCAAAACATTCAAAACATTTCCATAAAATTCGGTTTTTATTGAGGGGAATCCGGCATCGCGTGAAGGTTCATGCGGCGTTTTTCCTTAGCACAGCAGAGTGGATCGAAGCAATAGGAAAGGTCAGACACAATTTGGAAACTTTAAAAGCTCATAATTCCGTTACAATTTTGAGGTTCTAAAGTGGTTCCATTGGTTTCCTTGTAACACCTTCTTCTAATAGCACCCCTTGAAATTTAAAATGAAACGAAATAAACATCAAAATGTTATAAAAAAATGTAATGTCCAACCTCTAATTGAATCGATCCACTGTGCCCCGTGCTATGCTGCTGTCTTTTTGCCAATTTCGAGTACAATTTAGTGGTGTGACTTTGGAATTGGATTCTTGCATGGGATTACGATATTTGACACTTTAAAAAGTACAAAATACGGAAAATTCTATGCTTTTGCCAAACTTTAAGGTAGGTGGGAACTAACCCTGTATGTTCCAGACTCTCAATATGTTTTTTCTCGTATTTTGCATTTTTTATGGTAGTAAAACACAGTAATCTCTTTCATGCAGTAAGTGACACGTATTCGTGTTCATCAGAATGTCAATGTTGCATACACAAAAATTGCAGGCGCTTTTCTTACCTAAAGCACAGCGAATGGCTGCGATTTTAGTCTCAAAGGTTCTCCACGTTGCATTTACAATCTTGGTTACCATGAAATCCATGAAATTCGGGTGAGTCGTGTCGCATCACAGCATTGTTGCCAAATGGTGCAAATTAAAAAGAACACGTCACGCATCAAAAAACGGATCCGTGACAAGAAAATGCAGAATCGTTTCCTGAAAGCTAACGCGCGCACTTCGAATGGCTGGAATCGGTTTGAGACTAAATACATTATATTCTTGTATGTAAGTACTACGTATACAACAATATTGAGGAAAGGATACCTTCAAGAATACAAATTACGTCATTGACAGCGCCAGTGCATGCCATTCTTGAATACCGCCTTGAACTACAATTATATTACCGGGTGAACTCGCAATGCGATAGCAAATTGCTGCCACGCGTTTTTATCATCAGAATTCGATTTTCTGAAGAGTTTTTCTTTAGTGTATGATTGTGCACGAAAGCACCGCATCATCAGAGCATACTTGAACCGCGGTAAACAGAAAGGAACCAAGCCACATCAGATTTTACCAAATTTAATCGGGCAATTTAATTTTTTACATGAAAACGGTTGTGCGAATTTTTGGACAAATTTCAGTGAATTTTCTCCATAAGCAAATTCCTTAAAATTTTCAAAGGTTCTCTCGTAAAAAATGTAATTTCCTTGTTAAATTTGGCGAAAGCTGACGTGGCTTGGTTCCTCTCTGTTTGACGCGGTCCACTTGTCCTTTGAAGAGGCATCTTGCTCAATGCATCACTAGTTACGACCAACCAAGAAGGCAACGATGGGAATAGTTGCTCTCATAATTAGGACGGCCCGACCTCCTGATTTTCTGCTCCAACTCTTCGAAAGGTCATGAAAATCTCGTTGATATTGTGCATGCGGCCTGCGGCAAACCAACTATCTGAGAAATTCTCCTGCAGCGCCGCAAGAACCCTGGTCCAGAATTTCAAGTTTATCGAATGGAAATCTAGACCGCGTTTATCAGGAAGGAACCAAGCGACATCGACTGTTGCCAAATTTAATTAGACTATACATTTTTTACAAGAGAATGTTTGAGTGGATTCCTTCGAAATTTTAAGGAATTTACTTAAAATTCACCGACAAACTTCGCACAAAAATTCGCACAACCGTTAGGTTAGGTTAGACAATTAGGTTAAAAAATTTTTTAAAAAAAACATAATTCCCAATGTAATGATAAGGCTCGGTTTTTCTCCGCGTAACGCGATCCATTCGACTGTTTCCAAGTTTCAACTAATTCACGGGGTTTTTAAAATTTTCAAATGAGACATCATTCAGTTTTCGAAATGCAAAGGCCTGTATCTTGGACGTAAATCAAATTCTTATGTTACCTTTTTGTTTAGTCTCACAATAACAACGGTGAGGATGATAGTGTCCTTCTTTTAATTTTCTTGTTTTGCCGGTTGGAAATGCGGGTGTGATTCCGTTCGAAACGTTCCGGGCTTTTTATTTTAATTTATATGTTTCTTATTACTATTTGCGGCCTTAGTCCCGTTTTAAGTCGTTTCTTTGTTAGTGTTTCGGGCCGATTAAGTTGTTTTTTCTATTGTTACCTTTTTGCTTAGTATGGTCTTTTTTTCCGAATGGAAAACATTTTCTGACTTTTCCCGGAGTTTCCAAGTACTCCAAATTTTCTGACTTTTCCTAGTTCTCCGTAACTGTTACCAACCCGTCTTTGTGTTTAATAATTCAGTAAAATCAAGTGATGTTTTTTTATATAGGTGAATTGGAAATTCAACTAGGAATTTGAAGGGGACGCATGACTGAGGAAAAAGATAAACACTGTTAAAGAAATTAAACGCACTGGAGTACCGCAGTGTTTATTTGGTACATGTATTCTGAGGTACAGCTTGGTGCACACCTGGACTGCATTTTGCAATTAGAAACTTCAATTGATCAGCTCAGTTAGGAACAAAGTATGCACCATTAGTTTCCCTATACACATAAGTGTTCTTAAGGAAGAGCCAAAAATTGCAGTTTCCAAATGCAAAATGTAGTTCATCGAGTCCACTTCGCGGGATGTGATGTGTCTATTCGTGATTTTTCCTGGTTGAACGCATTCACCATGCAGATATAGAGGCTTGCCAAGTTGGAACTTTGGAAAATGTACCAAATAACACGCATCTAATTGCATGGATTTTTTTAACAGTGTATCTTTCTTGCTGCAGGTTGTAACCTGATTCCCCGATACATGAAGCTGTTCGGCAAAACGAAAAGGTCGATTATGAAGAGGAGAGGTAGCAACTGTAGCTTGTGTTACGATTGTCCCCACCTTGAGAGTTTGACATCTGGTAAAACTTTTAAATTGCAAAATACAAAGACATACAATTTGAATACAAATACAAGGCAATGGAAACAGAAATTACTCCGGGGCAAAATAATTCAAAGGACAATATTTGACTCAATTTTTTTGTGACCTTTTAAACAATAAGCAAAAATTCCAAGTTCTATTTATACTTTCATTATTGGAAATCGGAAAATTACATACAAAACTTAAAATTTGGATGCAAGGAAAAATGACCAAAAGCTAAGCAACTCTAGAAAAAGATCAAATTTCAAGTTTTGGTGCCTCGTTTCGTACAATCGTCTGGACACCTTGCACAATTAAATACCTTGCACACCTTGCATAATTTAAAATTTTCAATAAAATTTTTGCAGGAATGCATTTCTGATTATCCCGATGCGTTCATTCAAATTTTGGACCCATTTTTTAAAAAATTAAAAAAAACAAATCTTCAGTCCACTCTTTAGTAGTTTTCCACACACTTATTGATGTCCCACATAGAAGCGTGAGAAATATCTACCTATTTCCGTTGAAAAATTGAAAATTCTTTCAGGTGGTCAATGTGGTTGTGGTTGTGGCAATACCGATGATCTCTGGGCTGTTCAGTCCTCTGAAAATATTCTTCCAGCAGGTCACGGTGGTCATAGAAGCCAAAGTGGCCATAGAGGTCAAAGTGGTCATGGAGGTCAAAATGGTCATAGTGGTCATGGTGGTCAAAATGGTCATAGTGGTCATGGTGGTCAAAGTGGTCATATTGGTTGTCGATGTGGAAACGCTGATGATTTATGGGCCGTTGAGTCTCGCGAAAATATCAGCGCCGTTAGCCCCGGCAAGGCAACCAATCGGAGCACCGGAATGTTGGAAATTGTCTCGCAAATACTGGACGGCGTGCCTGCAGGTAACAAGATGCCACCAGTTGTGCAAGCTGATACCGCCGGCTTTTCATTACCTACGATATTTGGGAGCTTCAAAGGCAAAACTTGATTTCAGCTATTAATGTTGTTATGTTTTCCGAATTTGTCCCCATATTTCACGAGTATAATTGGAATTAACTGGGATCAAGCCTAACTGTATCTCACGCTCCCTCATTTTTAAGCGTGCTTTATTCAGTCGTAACGCTTTTAAAGTTTCAGCTTTTTAAACTTTACCGACCACAGAGATATAGACACGAATGCATTTATTCTGAGGATTGAGGATTTTAAAAAAATAAACATGCTAGTGCCATTTAAGAACCGTTAAAATATGTGAACCAAACCAATGGATGATGATGATGTTATGTAATGAACCGAAAGGTACGTGTAGGCGAATTAGAAAATTTGACTTTCGTTCTGGACCATTAGCCAAATGTAATTGATGAGAATGTGGCCGAAATTTTTTTGATGTGGAAAAAAAGAAATGAAGATAGTGAATGGAAATACGAATTTCTGACAAATGAATACCCATTGCTCATCCACGAAGGAGTAGCATTTTCATTTTTCTCGCTTAAAGCATCAGGGACTTCCTTTCCAACTTGCAGCTAACCGGAGCTTCTTCTTTTCAGAACTTTTTTTCCTCGGTCTGATGAAAGCAAAAGCTAGGCATCTTAAAGGAAGAAATCCATGTGAAAATCTTTAAGTAGCAGTGTCGTTTGCTGTGTTACTTCCTTAAAAAATGTGAGCCATATATATTTTCACAATCGATCATGTCATAGGAAAGAATGGTATGCGCTGGCGCGGTCGATGACTTGGACTGCATTTTGCAACAAGGAACCAAGAACATTCCAAGGATGCTAGGATTGTGCAACTTATATTTTTATGCAACACAATGGACCACTAGACAAGGTACGAATTTCAGCATTCTGATACATGTTTCTTAACCACAATTTCACATAGAACACGATACGCACAATGAAAATTACTGAAATCAACTCCTTACAAAGATACTTAATTATTCTTGATGTGTAAATTCAAACCACCCGCTCATGAAAACTCAATGCTCTGCGTGATTCACATCGCGCGCTAGACGTTATCATGACAGTCTCTTGCGATATAAAAATCTGGTAACCTCAATCTTGACGCTTTGGCTCAGCTGTAGCAAATCGCTTATGGTTTGAACAACAAATGGTGGGAAACGAACATTACTCGATAGAGGAGCTTGCTGAAACCGTTCAAGCGCGCGATTTGACTCACGTATAGCTTTGAGTTTCTTGTGAGCGGGCAGTTCAAAATCTGCGAAACCAATGTGAAATAAAAAGGTTAATATCTTCGTTAGGAGTTGGTTTCAGTAATTTTCGTTGCGCGAATCGTGTTCTACGTGAAATTTTGGTTAAGAAACATGTATTAGAATGCTTGAATTCGTGCCTTGTCTAATGGTCCATTATTGAAATCCTGCAAAAAATCAGATTTACAATGGTAATTTCCGTCATGAATGTATAGTTTATTGAGAGTTTAGATGAATCTTCCTTAGATGATCAGTTTATACTTGCAAGTTAACCGCGACATTGGAATGCTCTGGAAGGGCGGACAAAAAATATGGGTATTCATCGATATCGCAAGGCTGATGCAGATATTGACATGCCGTTAAGACGAGACTTTGGCAGCTTTGGACGAGAGTTTGGCAGCTGAAGAAACGGACACAGGATATGCTAAGAGCAACGGAGATGGATTTCTGGAGAAGGTCGGCAGGAATTTCTAGGAGAGATCGGGTCCATAATGATAGAGTGCGTCAGATAATGGAAGTCGAAAATGACATCGTGTTCGACGTCATGACCAAACAACTTGTTTGGTATGGTCATGTCAATAGGATGACGGAAGAGAGGCTGCCAAAAAAGTTGCTTGATTGGGTTCCTCCTGGGAGGAGACGTAGGGGACGCCCAGTGAGAGGTTGGCGACAGGGGGTGTTAAATGAAATAAGAGATTGTCAACTCCCTGATGACCTGTGGGAAGATCGAGCTTTGTGGCGAGTAGGCGTCGTAAAGCGCCAAAGAGCGCTGTAAAAGCGACTTATATATATATAAGACGAGACTTCCATAAGGTACAAGGGGAAATCTTGTTTAAGGGGGCCGTGGCCGAATTCCAAAGAGTAGAGGACAAGGGATCTGAATGTGTCATTAAGAAATCATCGGAAGCCTAGTTTCACCCTTATTTAAAAAAGGATCAGTCAATATTCAGCCACTTTGATGTTTCACAGGCTGCTAATTTGTGATGATGATGGGTAGTAACTTCCGATTTTTGCAGAGGATATTATTCTATTATTTTTCCCTCATACGATTGGTTTTCATTTCAAATTTGGACTGCATTTTACAAATAGCAACGGTAAAAAGTGAAGCACGCGTTCTCTGTGAAGATACTCTTCACGGCTGTAATCGGATCGCATTAAGGAAAAAGGAACCAGGTTGATTACAGTGTTGTTAAAATTTTGCTACTCCATAATTATGTAAGAAAATCTCCCCGAGGAGCAAACAGCTTTTCTTCCCACCAAAATAAATGTTATTTTAAAAGGAAAATAATAGTTTCAATTTTAATACTGTACTCAAATTAAACAGTTTTAATAGGAAAGAAAAAGTTGCAAGATTTTGAAGACACTATAATCGCGCTGGTTCCATTTTGCTAAATGCTAAATCCAATTGGTCTAAAGGTATCAGCGATTTACCTAAACCCCCTTTTATGCTTTATTTACATACCATATTTGGATTAAATTTTGCAAGAAGGAACCACTATCTCAAGCTCTTCAATAAAAGCACATTTCTGCATAGGAAAACCATTGACATGCATGTTGTTTCTAAAATGAGGGAGGAATAGTGGTTCCTTATTGCGAAATGTAATCCATTTTACCCCATGTTTTTATTAAATCCTTCCTGTTGAACGGTTCTCAGGGATGAATGAAAACCAAGGAGTCTGCAATGGCCCGAGCAGGGACCAGTTGTTCCGTTGCTGCCCCAAACCTCGACTCAAACCCCCTCCGTCTCCAATCTCCTGCGATGCACTCTGCTGTAACCCCTGCAAGTTCAATTCCCAGATGAGGGGCAAAAAGAAAAAGTGCCGCCAAGCGCCATCGTGTTCCGACTGCGCCTGCAACTCCACGAATAGATAACCCGCCAACGAGACCTTCAGACTTTACCGGAAAAGCTGTTAAGACGACGAGAAGTTCGAAAATCGACTTTTGAGGAGGATATAAATATTTATTTTGATCATGATCAGTGTTGAATGGCAGAAATACTAATACTATGAGCACCATTTGGACTACATTTTACAGTGAGTCAGTTGCGCTGCGAGGAAAGTTGCAGTTTGGACAGATCTTGTTTCTTTCGGCTGATCCACAAGAATCAAGCATCAAAACACAATTCTAGACTGAAAAAAAAGATCGGTAAAATGTCCCATTTCTATACGCTGTATTTCACACAGCGAATGGTAAATTCTACCAATCTTCAAGTCGATTTTGCCAAAGGAATGGTTCTCTGTACCAGTATATAGTGCGGTTCACCTTTCTTCTGGCAGAATTGATTCTAAATTGACGCTGTGTGAAATACAGCGTGAAGGAATGGTAAATTCTACCAATATTTTTTTTCAGTATAGAAGTGTGTTTTGATGCTTGATTCTTGTGGATCAGCTGAAAGGAACAAGATCTGTCCAAACATCAACTTTCTTCGTTCAATATTAACTGAGATATCGCGATTTGAAAAATTCGGTTTATGACGTCATCCACCGCGGTAGTGGAATCCTCAGTTTTTTCCACCTTGCTTTCATACGGGTTTCACGTTGAGTAACTAGTGAAAATGTATGTCCTCCTAACTAATGAAAGCAAGGTGGAACAAACTAAGGGTGTCGCTACCGCGCGCGGTGGATGACGTCATCAAACGATTTTTTTAACGCGCGATATCTTCTTTCATATTGAACGTAGAGAGTTGCTATTTAGACAGATCTTATTACTTTCAGCGAATCCGTGGTTTTCTAAAGGAAATACGTACTTCTGTAATCGGACGTAAAAACTAGGAGTTTGACCAGATCTTAATAATTTTTGTTAATCTATAAGCTGAAACCATCAAAATTTTACACTGGGACTAGCGCGGCTGACCCATTTGAATTCACCGAGAAAAAAGTGAAGTTGATTTAACATTCTTGATGTAAAAAAAGTGTGCGAGACCTTACGGAATACTGAATTGCCCGCTCTAGTAGTTACTTTAGCGATGCCAGGATGTAAAAGTAACTGCTGTTGCGTGTAATTTAGCATCTTATAAGTACTCGCACACTTTTTCTCTATCCGGAGTGTTAAATCAACTTTACTTTTTTTTCGGTGTTGTGTGATAGTATCTAAGATTTATTTCTACGATTGATCGCCATTCACCAAGCCAAACTTCAAAAATATTCAAAAGTCAAAAATATCAGGAGGCGCATCTCAAAAGAGATTCAAAATTATTACACAATTTTATTTTAAAATTTGAATTTTAAAAAAAAGTTCATATTTATTCATGTTTGTTCGCGAGCTCCACTGTTTTCATGATTGATTTTTTTCCATTCCCTTTGAGCCGCTTGAAGTTGTTGAGACTTTGATAAAGTCAGGATGAATAACATTGAATCTTCCTCTTTTATTCATTTCTCCGAATTCAATCTTTTTTTAATTATTCATCTCAGCAGGCAAAGGTTATATTGTTTCAATGCTAACAAAAGAAGACTCTAGAAATTCCGACTCCCTTCATTGGCATCTTTCCTCTTCGGCAAAAAAAAAAGGCACTGACGGTCCATACGTTTTGAACCCTTCTTATTTTTTTCGTCGTTTATTCATTGATCTTATTCATTTCCTCCCATATTATGTATTGATTTACTGGTTCAAAAATTACACACGTCCCGTGAAATTGTCCCTCATTTTCATTTGAGTTTGTGCCACTAGTAATTGCTTTTAGGAATTCCACTCTCTGCTAAAATGAATCAGTGAGAACCAAAACACACCAACTCGGTACCTCGGAAATGCTCAATTTTCATTAAAAAATGAGAAACAACTTAATCAGCCAAAATACACGTAATAAAAGAACAACTTAATTTGGGGAAAAGGCTGCAAATAAAGAAAAAAGAATAAACAAAACCCGGGACGTTTCAAAATAATAACAATTTCATTATCAACCGGAAAAAAAAAAATTAAAAACAAAAACGAGCCGTCGCTCCGCTGTTGTGCATACCAAATATAACGATCTCGGTTTTTTAATGTCCAATTTGAAATCAAAAAGAACTAATGACTTGGTGGCTGGCGTCGTTTACTACGTACAGTGTCAGGATTGTGAAGTCGGGTACGTAGGACAGACATCCCAGGTACTAAAAAAGAGGCTTTCTCAACATCGATATGGGAAAGGGGAGAAGACTGCCTTGCAGCACCACCAAGATGCAGAGGTGCATCGCTTTGACTTCGGGGGGGCTAAAATTTTAGCCTCCGAAAAGCGTTATTTTCCGCGTCTTCTCCTCGAAATGATGAATATCTTGAAGCGCAGGAACAAACTTTGTAATTACCGCGCTGATGTTGATGGTCTCTGTGCCTCTTATCACCAGTTTTTCCTCCCAGAGGGAGCTGGTGATTAAATTTCCATCCTTTTTTGTAATCTTTGTCTTGTGTGCTTTGATTTTGCTGCACTGTGCCGAGTCTGTTTACCTGGTAATCAGTCTCGGTCTCGCAATTACAGCGGAGCGACGGCTCGTTTTTGTTTTTAATTTTTTTTTTTCCGGTTGATAATGAAATTGTTATTATTTTGAAACGTCCCGGGTTTTGTTTATTCTTTTTTCTTTATTTGCAGCCTTTTCCCCAAATTAAGTTGTTCTTTTATTTCATTAAAAAGGGTCAATTTTCGTAAAGGTCATTGAAGTTAGCGAATCTGTTCCAACTTGGACATTTAAAGTGACCTTAAGTAGTTGTCTTTCGGCACCAAAATTATTTGTCTCATACCAACTTCTTCAACTACTGTGTAGTTTTGTGTGAGTCTTGATTACTTTCATTTTTTTGAGTTGAGGTGTTTTCGTTCTCACTAATTCAAATAGGTCTGATACAGCAACTGATCAGACTTTCCGTCGAGCACAAGAAAAAATAAAAAACCCCTTTCTCCAATGCACAATTTTAGTCATCAGCACTACAAATCTTTGAATTGCCAGATCCAGGATCCGATGAGCATTCAAACGTTGCCGAATTTCCTTCCAGAAAATATTTATTTTAGAAAAGAGTTACGCATATTTCTCATTTAAAGTTTTCGATATTTTCGATCAAAATACGAACCAAATACTCTGAAAAATTTGCAGGTGAATGTCCATGGATTCTCTTGAAAATTTATATTTTCCAAAAGGGAATTTGGCAATGTATAAATGCTTATACGACGTTATGCCTCAACACGGCGAAGCAGACTTATCCTCCCGTGCTCAAACTTTCCTGTGCTTCCTACTTCCTAGCTCTCCGGGCAATAATCGAATGCGTTTCTTATCACAAGTTCTAATCTCCTTCATCGAGGCATTTCGTCGCTCCTCCGACGTAAGGACGTATCTCAATTTCCTTATGAGCCCCAGACAGCATGGCGTTATACGAAGCACAAGGGTTACGGTTGAAATCGAGATACGCCTTTACATCACAGGTTCGACGATTTTCGAAGGAACCTGAGGCTTCCACCGGGAAAGTGCTGCCGCAAGCGAGATTTATAAGCCGAAGCGTTTAATAAAATTAAAGGATAAATCAAACCCCGTATTCCTTGTGCTCATTGTCTGGGCCAGCGCTCTCCTCTAAGGAGCACAAGCCTTTTCAACGGATGCTCCGTGGCTAAGCCAGCCAGACGAGAGTTGCCGATTTAGTAAGTTTGATGCGCGTGATAAAAGGGAGAATTGCGGACCGCGTTTAGCAGAAAGGAACCGAGCCACATCAGCTATTGTCAAATTTAACTGGGCAATTTCATTTTTCACAAGGGAATGTTTGGGTGGACTCGTCTGAAAATTTTCAGTTTGCCGCACATGCTATGCAGAAAATGGAGATGTTGCATGTGTGAGGAATTTGCGATTTGACTGTTGATTCTTATGTAAAAGTTTGCGAGAAACACGATGGTGCCACTGGTTTTCTCTGAAATCAACTCCCAAGCTCAAAAACAGCTCTCAAGTTGAGGCCAAAATGGAGGGGATATCCCGCGGTATCCTGAGAGTCCACCTCTACATCAAGACAAACTCTCCATGCAAAGTTAGGGAGCAAATACATTCACAGGGTTGCCGTGATTTTAGTTTTAGAGTCCCCAAATAATGTGGTAGACATACTAAAAATTCAGATCGGTCAAGGCAAGGATGAGGGAGAGGGGGTTTAATTGGTCGCCCCAAGGCCAATTTTGCTATTTTACCCCTAAAAAACCACAAAAATGCGATTATTTTTCCAGGAGCTCCGACAACCTACTTCGAAATTGCCCATAAACCCATCAGGGCGTACCCCACTACAACCTCCAACTTGAATTTTTGATGTACATTCAAAGTGCATAATAAGTGAGTTCAAGCGCACTGTGCAAAGTTTTGATATATCATTTATATTAAAAATTCAAAAAATGAAGAATTTAAAATCAATATATAATTTGTTTCTTAAATGGATTGCATTTTGCAAAAAGGAACCACTAGCATTGCAATGTTGCTAAGATTGTGCAACTTCTTTAGTCTTGGAGGAAAAACCCGATCATCCCTTAATAGTTTCTATTTTACTCGCTAAAAACTTTAAATTTAAGACAAAAATTACCATCTAAATTTCATAGTTTTTCACAATTTCCGCAATTTTATTGCAAAGGATGAAGTTGCACTATCTTAGCATCATTGCAATGCTAGTGGTTCCTTTCTGCAAAATGCAATCCAAATAACATGTTTCATTTTTACTAGGACAGAAAACGATTAGATTGTTTCCATCAAGCGAGGCCGCGGTAGCAAAGTTTCAAAATATAAACGCTGCACGGAACATGATGATGCATCATTTTTTCTCCCAAAAGCCACGGGAGCTCCCGACTTGGATCTTGTCTTGATGGTGTCAATTTCCGAGGTTCTTAATCCGTCTTGAATTAGAGCGTCAAACTGTATGACATCAAGATCCCTGCGTCTTAGTGTGTACATACGTTGCCAAACGTAAGAAAATGTTCGAAACGTGCACAATGTTTTCTTAAAAAATTATTGATCGATTTATGATAAACATGGAGGCAGCGAGATTTCGACGCAGAGAAGGACGTATAAATTCGAAAAATTGGGGAACGAAGAATAATCAGAATTAGCACATTACTTTGGCAGAATGTACTACTATAGACAAGGTACGAATTTCAGCATTCTGATACACGTTTCTTCACCAAAATTTTACGTAAAACACGATGCGCAAAACAAAA